TCCTTTCTTTCTTCCTTTCTTCCTTTCTTTCTTTCTCTTTCTTTCTTCCTTTCTTCCTTTCTTTTCTTTCTTTCTTCTTTCTTTCTTTCTTTCTTTCTTTCTTTCTTTCTTTCTTTCTTTCTTTCCTTTCTTTCTTTCTTTCTTTCTTTCTTTCTTCCTTTCTTCCTTTCTTCCTTTCTTTCTTCCTTTCTTCCTTTCTTTCTTTCTCTTTCTTTCTTTCTTCCTTTCTTTCTTTCTTTTCTTTCTTTCTTTTCTTTCTTTCTTTCTTTCTTTCTTTCTTTCTTTCTTTCTTTCTTTCTTTCTTTCTTTCTTTCTTTCTTTCTTTCTTTCTTTCTTTCTTTCTGTCATTCTGTTGATTAGGATTGGTTAGAGGCTTAAGCCATAAGGACATTTATTGCTCATCAAATAAGAATTCTGGAGGTAGAAGATTCAAGAGCTGATTCAGAGGCTTCGGGCCATTGGTTGGCATTTCTGAGACTCTCTGGACAACTTCAGACATCTTGGCTCAAATAGCTCTGTCCACTGGCAGGAAGTAGTGGGGGTGGCAGGGGTCGGGGGAGGACCTCCAGTGAGGCTCCCTCCATTTACTGGGGGATGAAAAACTGTTTCTAGAGCACTCCCTCTACCTTAGACTCTCACCATACCTGGCTGACCAGATCTAACTGCAGTGGAGACTGAGAAAGTGAAATCTGGCCTTTTCACCCTGCTAATGGGATGCAGGCAAGGAATAGGGAACTGATTTCCCATACCAGCGTTTGCCACCCTTCATTCACTCGACTAAGATTTACTAAGCACGCACTCCAGGCCAGGCTCTGGGCCAGGTGATGATGATACAGAGGAAAAGGCAATCTCTGTTCTCAAGGAGTCCCTACTAGGAGAACACAGACAGGCAGAAGGCTGCAAAACAAGAAGGCAAGTCCTAGGAGGGAACTGAGTGTCTCTAGGGCCACCACAGGAGCTGAAGAGGCTCAGCTTGAAGGAGCAGGGAAGGGTGGAGGGAGCCATAACTGGGTTAAGTTTTGAGGGTTAATAAGGATATTGCTAAGGGCGAGGGGGCATGTAGGAGGCGGCTGCAAAGAGGGCGTCTGGGAATCTTCCAGGATGTGACATGGCAGAACAAAAGGAATGAATGGGGAAGACAGGAAATGAGGTTGAAGAAGCAGGAAAGGGCAGGCTGAGAGAAGGTTCTGTGTGGGCCATAATGGTTTGGGGCATTTATTCTGGCTGAGCAGGGCTGTGTATGGGGACCTTCTGCAGGAGGACAAAGAGCTGTACCCCTGGAATGGCTGCACTGCACTGAGGTGTGGGAGATTGGCATTGCCAGGTGCCTCCCAGCTGCGGGAACCTGAGCACTCGTCCACAGCACCCGGAGCTGGTGTGGCCCCACACCTTTTTGTTCGCCATCTCCTGATACAGCTGGGGACAGTTCTGAAGGTTAGAGGATGTATTCTGAGAGGCCAGACTTGCCACCCCCACCCTCACTCCTTCCTCTTCGCCCAGTTCCACCTTCTGGAGCAAAGTAATTCTTTTTCACCTGATGGCCATTCAAACATATGGAACATTTGAGTTATGATTCCCAACATAGCACGTACCTCACCTCATTTAACCCTCAAAACTCTGATGCAGCTGTTTTCCATCCCCATTTTACAGACAAGGTTACTGACTCAGTGAGGCACATGGCCAGACCCACAAGAGCAGGGAGCAGTGCTGTGTGCCTCCCGTTTCACCAGTGTTTCTCCAGGCATGGTCTTTGCACTGCCTGCCTCAGAATAACCCGGACTGCTCGAGGCAGATCCCGGGTCCAGGGGTGGCCCCAGACCTCCTGAAGTAGACTCTCTGCAGGTAACAGCTCAGAACCCACTTGTAACACGCTCCTCAGTTGATTTCTAGATCTATTCAAGTGTGGGAATCACACTCTAATCTTGCTAACACGACCAATTTTAATCTTCTATTTCCTTTTACTTTTGCTGGCCTGGAAAAAAGAGAGCTTTTTAGGTGAAATTGGCTCATGAGTTGCACTTTCTTAAAGAATGGATCAGTGGAATCCCAGAGCCTCCAGACTTTGCAGAAGCATCCCTCTCCTTTACCTTCTTTCTCTCTGCCCCATTTGCAGAAGTCCTGGTGGCCATCTCTTGCTGAGCCAGGATGGGTGACTGGAGCTTCCTGGGAGAGTTCCTGGAGGAAGTACACAAGCACTCTACAGTGATCGGCAAGGTCTGGCTCACCGTCCTCTTCATATTCCGCATGCTGGTGCTGGGCACGGCTGCCGAGTCATCCTGGGGGGATGAGCAGGCAGATTTCCAGTGTGATACCATGCAGCCTGGCTGCGGGAACGTCTGCTATGACCAAGCCTTCCCCATCTCTCACATCCGCTACTGGGTGCTGCAAATCATCTTCGTGTCCACACCATCATTGGTGTACATGGGCCACGCCATGCATACAGTGCGCATGCAGGAGAAGCGGAAGATGAGGGAGGCTGAGAGGGCCAAAGAGGTCCGGGGCACTGGCTCTTATGAGTACCCAGTGGCCGAGAAGGCAGAGCTGTCCTGCTGGGAAGAAGTGAATGGAAGGATTGTCCTCCAGGGTACTCTGCTCAACACCTATGTCTGTAGCATCCTGATCCGCACGACCATGGAGGTGGCCTTCATTGTGGGCCAGTACCTCCTCTATGGGATCTTCCTGGACACCCTGCATGTCTGCCGCAGGAGTCCCTGCCCCCACCCCGTCAACTGTTACGTATCCCGGCCCACAGAGAAGAATGTCTTCATCGTCTTTATGCTGGCTGTGGCTGCACTGTCCCTCTTCCTCAGCCTGGCTGAGCTCTACCACCTGGGCTGGAAGAAGATCAGACAGCGCTTTGTCAAGTCTAGGCAGAGCATGGCTGAATGTCAGCTTCCTGGTCCCTCTGCGGGCATAGTCCAGAACTGCACACCACCTCCTGACTTCAATCAGTGCCTGGAGAATGGCCCTGGGGGGAAATTCTTCAATCCCTTCAGTAACAAGTTGGCTTCCCAGCAGAACACCGACAACCTGGCCACTGAGCAAGTACAAGGCCAGGAGCCAATTCCTGGGGAGGGTTTCATTCACATCCGTTATGCCCAGAAGCCTGAGGTACCCAGTGAAGCCTCCCCAGGTCACCGCCTGCCCCAAGGCTATCAGGGCGACAAGCGCCGCCTCAGCAAGGCCAGCAGCAAGGCCAGGTCAGATGACTTATCAGTGTGACCCTCTAGTGTGGGGGAACCAGGACCAGGTGGGAACCGAGGAAGCTCAGAGAGGGAAGATGTGTCCCTGCTGACCCCATCTCTCATTCTCATACCTGCTCTGCTCCTTTTGGGCTTCAGGTCTCAGTGGCATTGCTCATTTATTCCAGAAAGTAGGACCAGGGCTCTGGGAGTTCAGGCAGCAACAAGGCTACCCACCCAGGCTGCTATCCCTTCCCATCCTCTACCCAGTGTACATAGAAGGCTTTCAGATTCTTCAGTCAACAGGGTAGAGGAAGAAAAGGGAACAGTGGTAAATCTAGCCTGGGATGGATAGCCAGAAGGATAGCATGGCTCTCTACATACCAGCCACATACCAGATGGGTTCTCCATCTGGTACCAAACGGGTTCTCCCGTTTCTGTAGCTTCCTTGACGTGATCACCCTTCTTCTTGCAAGGAAGAGCCCAAAGTTCCCAGCCAATAAAGAATACCAATCAAGGACCTTACATTAGATGTGCTCTTGAATCTGTTGTCTCCCTGGGTCAAACCTTGGAGTGATGGTGAGGTGGACTTGGGCTGCCCTTGGCTGCCCTCCCTCTACCCAGTCTTACTTAAAAAGAGGTCCTTGGAACTTGACCAGCAGCCTCAACTTTACAAGTGCTTTGGTATGTACCTCTGGCAAATGTCCCACCTTAGTGATGCTGCAATCTTTACTTCTGCCAGGGTGACAACTAGCCCATGGGGGTGCAAGCTCCCCCAGGGAGTGACTGTATACACAGGCTCCGCTGGAATCCCTGCCACCACCTGTCATCCTGTGGCTCTTTTACAGCTCAACCCAATGATAGAAACCATCCCATCCCTTCCTCCCTTGGCTGTTCACCCAGTGCTCCCCTAAAGACCTTATCGACCAGAATGCCCAAGAAGCCGTCGTCCTCTCTCAGATCCTGACCAGTTCACCAGCCACGAAGGCCATTGGAATTTCCCTAGGTCTTATTAAAACAAAAAGGGCATTGTGCTTCTCAGATTCCCTTTGGGAAAAAATAATTCTGCTGTGAAGATAAAAATAAAAAAAAAAGAGAGAAAATACTGGAAAACTGTTTTCCCCTCCTATTTATTTCCCTTTCTGACTGCCAACTTAGAGTGCCAAGAGGAGGTGTGATGACAGCTATGGAGCCCCCAGAGCTCTCTCTTCCTGCAGGGCTTAGCAGGGGCATGGAAGCAGTAAGGGAATCTCCAGCTCTCTTGGCAGGGGCCTCATTTAAGAGCACAGAGATTCCTATGTCTCCCCAGTGCTCCTAACAAGACAGCTGGAAAGCAGTGGTGACTGAGGACTGCAGAAAAGCCCTGCCTTCCCAGGGACTGGCCTGGTTTCTCTGTTCAGTCCATCTGTAATGGGTGGTTGCCATTTTGGATGAAGGTAAAGGATGCTCAGAATTGGATACTGAGACAAATAGGGAGATGATTACTTTTTAAAATGCATGTGTGTGTGTGTGTGTGTGTGTGTGTGTGTGTGTGCACACGCACTGACAGGGTGAGTGAAGGGGAAGGGAGTCTGAAATAAGGAAAGGAAACAGAGGAACTTGTGTCTTCCTGTCCTCACCTCCAGATGCTGGTGGAGGGGCTGAGCCTCACTGTTTCCAGTGGCATTGGCCTACGCAGATGAGAGGTCGGGGCAGAGGAGGGTGAAGGCTCAGAAGGAGGTTCAGCCTCTGCCCGCCCCCCCCTTCCATCTCCAGGCCCCTCTGCTGATGTTTGGCTGCTATTGGTGGGTGGAGAGAAGGATGAAGGTAGAGAGGTGGAAGGGACTGACTGGGACGCCATTTCGGGAAGAATGACTGGTCATCCGAGGTCCCTAGAGAGGATAATTTTTATCTATTGTCTGGCACCAGCATTAAGACTCTCTCTCTCCAAAATAACAATAACAAAAAGACTCTCCCTCCATCTCTGAAATGGGTTTGTTTAGTGAAATGAGTGTTCTTGGATTACAAATCCTATGAGATCAGTCCTTGATGATGGGACTTTCAGGAATGAAATAGGAAATAATATGTGTAGTTTGTCTTAATAAAATTTGGCCCTGCATCTCTCTCTCTTTTGTGTCCTTTCATGCCATGACCACGGAAGAAGGATTGGCAGACTTGGTGGGGGAGGGAAGCACCAGACTCCACCCATCAGTCAGTAATGCAAACAGCTTTGGAGTCAGGCATGCAAGGGTTAAAAATCCCAGCTGCTGATTTACAGCTGGACTCCAGCAAGCTACTTAATCTCTGAACACTGGTTTTCTCCTCTGTAAGCTTCAGAATATTGTCGTTGGGTTGTTAAATGAGAGACTGTGAAGAGTTCATCGGAGTGCCTGGGAAATAACAGTATGTCACTGAATGGTAATTGTTGATATTGTTGTCATTATTATCTTTATTATTTTCATTATTGTCTTGAATACATAGTATTTGAAAACCTGGGATGTCAAGAGATGATTCTAGAACTTCCCCTTATGGAGCTCACATCTACCTAAGGTGGTCAGTTTAACTCAGGTCAAATTAACTCCAATTAATGCAGAGGAAACAATTGGAATAGAATTAAATGGGAATACATTTATTATCAATTCTAAGAACCACAGGCTCCAGGAAGTGAAACATATGACAAAACCACCGGAAGGGGACATCTGACCTGGGCCCTAAGAGGCTGAGGTTTTAGACAAGTGAAGACCTCAAGGATGACTCTGTGAAATGGGTCTTGGTGTTCCTATTTTACAGACATGGAAACTGAGGCCCAGGAAATGTGTGTGACTGTGAAAGCTTCTCATTGGCCTCTCTGATTGGGATCACATCTTTTTGGAAGAGGAGAAATGATTCTTGCTCCAAACAAAGGGTCAAGGCACCACCTAGACCTTGAGCAACACATGGGTGCTATTTCCTAGAGAAAGAAACAAAGGCTGGGGAACACATACAGAAGTATTATCTTAACTACCAATCAGTGTTGTTCATCAGGGCAAGAAAGCTCTTTTAAAGAGGCTTGCAAGCAGATCATAGAACACATCTTATGACAGCAGAGTTGAGATTCAGGGTTGTACCTGGCATCTGTTCAAGGGCAAGGTGCTCAGTCCAGAGGTCCCTGGGTAGTCCAAGTGGAAAAAGCATCTGAGATCCATTTTTTTCTCCTAGAAAAGAAGCAGTGCATCTCATGGTTTTATAAACATAGCTATTAACATTTAACAGTTTATATTACACCCATACAGCAAAAGCTAAGGGACTTATTTTACAGTGAGTAAGATTTCAACCTCATGTATCTGCTCTCATTTTCTCTTCCTCTCCCCTTTAAAGGTTCATCACTGAGGAGGGTTAGCTGGGTAGTAATTGCAAACACATTCTGGGTTGTAGGCCCCTGCAGGCCCCTTTCCTAATGTCCTCCCTCCAGTGCCAGATAAGATCAGAATTTCTACCACTAGTGTTTCATGACTATGGTTAAAATATCTCAGTGCTTAAATGTTAATAATATTCTTATGAAGAATCATAGCATGAATGAATTTCAGATTTCTTCCTAATAGCAAATTTTCCCAGCAGAGAGCAAAACAGAACAAGGGCTCTGGGCACCTCGCAGTTGTCTTAAAGGATTGCTTTCATGATGTGCAGATGAAGAAAACAGCGAGGTCGGAAGGGGTGCCGAAAATAAGCTTCGTGCTTCCCAATCTTCCATAGTTCTTAGGAGCCCCGGCAGTGGGTCCATGGATTGAACAATAAACAGAATTTACAAATGATAGATATGTAAATAGAATAGGATCAATAGTTTTTCCTCTTGTTGGTTACGTGTTGGTCATCAGAAATGAGTATGATCTCCAGTTTTTATTGTTCTTTCCATTGGAAAAGAGAAAAATTTCACTCAACAAACATCTATTGAGCACCCACTTTGTACTGGGCACTATGTCAGGTTTCAGGAATGCAATTTTATAAAACATATGATTCCATCTTTTGGAGCTTACAGTCTAGAAGGGAAGACACCCTAACACAAGTAAATAAACAAAATAATTACAAATTGTGGTAAGTGCAAACAAAGATAGATAAGATGCTAACAAAGGTGGAGGAGGGGATGGGCAGAAAGGAGGTAACACTGAGGCTGAGATCTGACAGCTGAGAAAAAGCCAGCCACCGATGACTAGAAGAACCCAAGTTCCTTCCAGGAAACCCCAGAATACAAGTGACCCTGACTTCAGTCTGGTCCAACATTCTTGAAAGACACAGAATTCAAGCAGCACCTAAATAGCACCTAAAACAACAACACTTGGGACCACGTACTTTTTCAGTAAAAGCCTCAGGGACAGAAAATTCTCTTTACTTAAAGAAGAGAAGGGAGGTTTTAATTAAAACAACTAAATATCATATGTCAACATTCTATAAAGCCCTTTTTGATGTTGCAACTATTATTTCCACCAGGACTGATTCTTGTAACATGCTTGGGGCCTTCTAAATCGGGCCCATTCCCTAGAGTCCAGGCTGGTGGGCAGAGATTGCATCCAAGGGAGCTGGGAAAGAGCCAGCGGGGTGTGGTCCAGTGGAGTGTTGGCATCAGAGGAGTAAAAACAGTGAGACATCAAGTGCACAGGGAGGGGGGCAGTGAGGAAGGAGGGAGAGCACAGCAGCGGGGAAGCCAGGCCACAGAAGTTGTGCAAGATGCCAGGCACACAGGCATCACTGGGGACATCTCTCAGCTGGCAGCAGGGAAACAGCCCCTGATCTGGGTTTTTTTGGAGCTGGGCCTCCAGACTCAGAGGAGGGGGTTGACATGGGAAAATCACAGCTTCATGCTAGTGGTTGGGTTACTAAGCAATGCATCAGGACAGAGTCTTGCACAGAGTACAAGGTGGGTACCCATTATCAGAATTAATGTGAGGTGCTGAGGTGCTGCTAAAGACATTTATTGATGGTAACATATACTAGATGCCTTCAAAGTCATAAATCTAAAGGAATGACCAATAGTGAGACTTCCAGGCACCTCATCAAGCATGGTGGTGGGTGGGAAGATGATTTTTGGCAGGGGATATGATACCACTCTGAAATCACCCCAAGTTGGCACCTCCTTCAACCACATGGAAGGCTAACGCAGCCCTGGGAAGTCATGGCCAGGAAACAAGGCTTAAGTCCCCCCCGTCCCTTTAACCTAGCTGATTTTCCATTAATCCGACTCAAGACTCTATGGGATGGGGTGCATTTACTTGCTGACAAGGGTTTCCTCTGAGAGAAACTGAGAGCCAGGCATGAACCCATTCAGGAGAGCTCTTGTCCTGGTCTCTGCAGGCTGGCCTAGCTAAATCCCCGCAGACAGCAGCTACCTTTCAAACAAGGGCAGCGGACATGCAGAGCAGGGTGGAATGTTGTTGCATGCCTTCCTGGGATTACTTGGAGAGGTTTAAGCTTACAAATGTTTAAGCCAAAATTGTACACTTGGAAACCAATGTCAAAACCTGTGTAGGGTGTCATTAGCTGGGGAAAAGTCAAATTAAAACAAAACAAAACAAAACAAAACACATATTTTGGTAATAATTATGAAACAAACTTGGAATTGTTAAGTGCTATTTTCTAGGCCCTGTGCTAAGAGATTTCATGAATTATCACTTCATCCTTATAATAATCCTATGAGGTCACTGGACGCCCCCCTTACAGATAAGGAAGCAGATTCAGTAACCTGCACAGCTAGTAGGTGGTAGAAGTGAGATTCAAACACTCTTCTCTTTGTCTACAGCATGCTTCTCTTAAGTGCTTCTCATGTAGCTTTATGGAAAAAGGCAAGATACAAAACTGTACCCACACCATGATTCCAATGTGTAAAGTGGGCACTTAAAAGAACAAAGATTTGAAAGAAACAAACCAAAACGAAAGTGGTTGTGCCAGTACGGTGGATCTGTGGGAATGCTTTAATTCTCATTTCTAAACTATTTGAATGTTATCATGTTATTTTTGTAATTAAAAAATTTAAAATATATTTATCTTCAACCGTCGGGCTAAATTTGGTGTTCCCTTGGGTGACTGTCGGGAGCTGCCTCTCTTCATTTCCGCAGTACTCATGCCTGGGAAAATCTGTCTTTATCTGGGCTCTGAGTGCCACCCTTAAATGGAATAAGGTTAGCAGGAGGCGCCCACTCCAGGGTCGGGGCTGCCAACTCTGAGACAGTGGATGGTCGGCCAGCTGTGCCTCTGGATGTGGCCAAGCATCCGAGTGAGTGCGGGGGCGCGACCCGCACCCGTGAGCTCTTGCACCCCCTCAGTGCAGGGGAGCTCTTGCTCTATGTCGGGTCAGGGCTGTGGGCAGGCGCTGTTTGGGCAGCTTGGGAACATACCAGTAGGAGAGCCCCCAGGTGCTCAGACCCGGCAGGAGAGGAGAACCATGCCATATTCCAAGGGAGAAGCTGAGTATGGTGAGAGGAAAGTGGCAGTGCGGGCCCTCGGGGCAAGGCGAGGACCC